GCTATAACTGGGTGTCACTGCATCAAGGATTAGATTTTGCAATAAAGTAGAATACAGTTGCTCTAGAGATAATCTGGAAAAAACAATTGCACATTGACTACTATATGTAAAAATGCCTCACCAATTGCAACATTCCAGTGCTATCTGGCTTTGTTGTGGGTGCTTATACATGGTACTTGCACTTATTCTGTCTGCTCCAGTTGTAGGCTCTGATAAACTAATCTCTATCTACTGCTACAAATATTTTCACAGCGACTCATTAACACCATATGATAATGTTTGTAATGCTTATCATGTGAACTGAAAGAGAGTTTCATAGAATAGGCGAGCTATCCCTCCTACCCATTATTACTACTGCTCATGTCTATGCTTCTACTCCAAATAGTTACGTGTTCCATCTATGCCCATGGTCTTTTTTGCTATATTCAGAGTTAGACCAGTTTAAATAAAGCTGTGATTTGAAAATTATTTCAATAAACTGGTGCAAAACACAGTGTGGACACTCAAGTTAACTTCAATCAGATTTATATTTGATTTACTTTAAATCAATTCCTTACCAAATTAACATAAACCAAGATAAACCAGGTTTAAATTGAATTAAGAATGTCCACATTGTGTTTTGTACCAAGTAAATTAAGTGTGTAAAAAAAAAAATCACAATTTTCATTAAACCAGTGTAACACTGACTATAGACAAGGCCTCAAGTATTTGTTAACTACTATGTGCCTCTCTAATGTGGGATGGGATTTCTGGAAATGTCTTTATAGAAGAATACAAGGCAGATCTTCTGCTGGTGTAAATTGTCCATTAACTTCAATGGAGCTACAATAATAATTTATAATAGCTAAGGATCTGCCCCAATATAACTTGCATTAGAGAGGAAGGGGTAAAGCTGGATGTAAGAGACAAGGTCTGAGATGTACTCCAGGGCACATTTGTGGCAGGTTTTGAGATGGGGAAACGAATTTTGTTATAAGAAAATAACGGACAACAAAATGATCATAGGAATCCAGAAAAGTGGGTCCCAAAATGCACAACTGCCTGTGTTCCTCTTCAACACACAAACCACAGATCTGAGGTTTACACTAATAACTTATGACCTGTGTGTAGCAAATCTCCTCTAAGAGAGTCTTTCATTCTTTCCCATTCTTTCCTATCAATCATACTCTAATTTCTTATATTAAGGAGATATTGTAACCTATTCTTTTACAGGAAAATGAAAGCAGATCACTGATCTTATTTATGCTTTATATAAAAAAATTGCATTTCCCAAGATTTTGTATTAAAATAATTTGTCAGCAATATATATATGTATATATATATAGTATGTGTGTGTGCGTGTGTGAGAGAGAGAAAGAGTGTATATATATATATAATCTTGTTTTCTTCCCCTTCCCAGAATGTACTGACTGAAATCATTCCACAAACATGCTGCACAACAAGAGAAAACAAATCAGCCTAGCATCAATGTTGCCACAGGACTAACGGAAGTCGCTCATTCTCCCATAAGGAGAAGGGTCATAACAGAAGATGTACAGCATGCAGAATGCACAATGACCTTCAACTGTCAAAAACCTTCTTCAGAAGCATTTCATTTATGCAAAATAAAATAACTGCAATACTCACCACTAAAAATACAGGCCATTCTTATTTAGATACCAAACTACAGAGTTAGGTGCCTAACTTTAGACTTCCCTGTTCGAATATTTGGGCCTAAACTGGGAAAGACAGTTGTATAAACAGTGCATAACACTGTAGAAAACTTATTTGCCTAAAACAATTTGGGACACTTTGGATCTTACAACCCTTTGTCAGTTATATCTCTGACTACAGAACAGTACTGAGTATAACACGGAATATTTTGATGATTATGGACCATTTCAATCCAGAAATAGAGCAAACAAACTTCTTTTTCTTTTGGGTGGGCAGGCCATGCCTCTCCCCACTCTCTGTGCCCAACAGCTCACCATTTCTTTTCTGCTTAACTGCATGGCAGACTTCCAGATGAGAATCTGGATGTGAATCAGCAGCAATGGCATTTGAATCATGGCACCAAAAATGTTGGAGGCTGAAGTCCCCAGAAACCCTGGTGCAGCTGTGCTCCTTGCTGTTACAAGGCAGCTCAATTGCAGTCATGTGCTTTGATTTCTTTTTGGCCCACTGTGTCTGCTCTTTTGAAAAAACAATCGTTTCTATTTTCAACTCGCATCAGAGCACAATTCTATTTTATTATTTTCTGTCCAGGTTTTTGTGGCATACTCCTCACTGTATAATATCTAAGCACACTAGTAATTTTATTTACAGCATAGGTTAGTAAGTGCACTGTTCCCTAAAAGACAATATATACAGTGTGCCAGATCCTCTGCTGCATCTGAGGAGCTCTCAGCTTTGTGCTTCCTCATTCCTGTGGTGTTCTGAGCCAGGCTGGTTCCCTGGGCTGCGCTAAGTTACACCAGTTGCCAAGATATTATGGCAACTGGCACTTGCCAGGGCATAAGGACATTTCCTGCAAGCCAGCTAAACTAGGGTTACCATACGTTCGGCTTTTCCCGGACATGTCCGGCTTTTCGGCAATCAAACCCCCGTCCGGGGGGAATTGCCAAAAAGCTGAACATGTCCGGGAAAAATACCGGCCGGGCACTTCCTCTCCTGCGGCTGTTCTGCTCCTCCCCTGACTCAGACTTTGGCTCTGTTTAAGAGCCAAGGCTGCTCGAGCCAGCGCTACGGGCTTCGGGCAG